GGAGTAGCCGCGCCGGGGGACCCCGCGCCTCCCAGGGGCGCCGGGCCGCGGACTTCGGCTGCTGGCGTCTCCCCGCGTTGTCCCCGGATTTACGGTTCCTGGCTCCTTTTCTCCTGTCATACTTCTTGTTTCGCTCGCTCTGATTTCTCCGGCCTCCTCCCCTAGAACTTTAATTCATTCAGCGATGAGAACGTAAGAGGCCCTTTGGTCTGCAATCTCGCATCCTCTGCTAAAGGCATTATTTTCTCTCTCTTGCTTGCAGTTCAGTACTCTGTTTCAGTACTGCTGGGAGACTTAGCTGGGCTGCCTCAACGCTCGCAGCGTTCCCTCCTCTGCTAGATCGTAGGGTGCAAAGTAGTGCCATGTGTATAACACATAGCATAAAGGGAGTGAGACAGATGGCTGTCTCTCCCTGCGCATTACTGATTCTCTGCTGAACTTACGTAACTCTGCTTTTTTCCCTTCTTACGTTTACACACTGGTGCAAGCGAGAAGAGAAACAAAGTGGAGCCCGTCAGTTTCCTTCGTAAGGCCACTAGTGCCTGACTTGTAGAAAATAATAACTGATGTCCAAAGTTAGCTGCCTTCACTTGTCAGTTTGATCTTGTTCACAAGTGGGAACTGCCAGTGCTTGTTCCCTAGCCAGTGGTTTTTAATACGGGGCCAACAATTGTTAGTGGTCACTTCCAGCTGAACTTCTTTTGCTCAATGGGGAAAAAAAAATCCCCTTGGACGTGTTTTTTGCATCTTTGATCATATTTTTAGTCGAAAGTATCCATGTATGTCTGCAGTTCTTAGAGGCCTTGGAATATCTTGTGGTAATAAAGGCCAGAGCTTTGCATGACGATAGCAAAGCCAAATACATTTTTTTCTCAGCGGGCATTAGAAAGTTTCTTTAGTCATGACCTTATATCTGCTAAACACTCTAATCACCTTGGGAGATACCACTTCAGGAAGCATATCCATTAATCTTTCACACTTGGTTTGATTTCCCCCTTAAAAGTGTATAGATCACACTTAAAAGGCTTCAGTCTATTTATTTATTTATTTCACGGAACAAAAATTACTTAGGAAAGAGAAGCCTCAATGCACTTTTCTTTATACCCCATACAATGGGGTGATGTATATTTCTTTTTCCATAGTGTGACTTTAAAGATCAGCTAGCTGGTTTGGCAGAGGTTGTGTGTAATGACTAACGTTTTAAAAGTTAATGTAAATAGGGGTGTTTGTGTATATATAAGCTATGTCAACTGAAGTGATACAACGACATATTTTTAAAACATTTCAGTTAATATAGTAAATCACTGAGACAGAGCTTTGAAACATTTCTGCATGATGTCAGAACCTGCGAGAGAAG